CTAGGGCCCTTCCTGCTCGCCATCGTCGTGTGCTCCTTCTCCTTTCTCGGGCTGACCATCTCCTCTCTCATCCTCACCGTGTCGTTTGTACCGACACACTGGTCCATGAAGGTCATCTGGACCTGCTCGCTGCTCGCGCTGGCGCCGCGACAACAACCGCCGCCGCTCGCTTCGCAGCCGCCACGTACCCACTCACCCGCCCCGAATTGAACAGGTGGCCTCCGGGATCTTCCTGGTCGAGCCACGCCCCTCGCACTGGCTCGCCACATTTGGGCAGGTGCGCCACTTCCTGTGGCGCGCGTCGGGCGGGGAGCTTCGACGCCGCCTCCGCCGCTGGTGGCGCTGGCGGAAAAAGTATGCCATGAAGACAAAGCTGAACGTGTGAGAGAGGCCGCTCCTCTCCCTCCGTCTGCGCACCGCACGCTTTCGTACAGTGTGGTCTCAGGCATCGAGTCTCGCCATGTACACGGTAGTCCCCAGCCTCCTCCACTGCATATCCCTGGAACAGTGGAGCGGCTCAAGCGTCACACCCTGTCGAGGCTCGAGCGTCGTCTCAGGAGACTCAGCCCTCAGCGGCCCCGCCCCTCGCCTGTGTTATGAATCTGTGGTTCTCTCTCCATTCTCTATATCCCCTCGTAGCTCGTTTTCGTTCTTATCTCAGCTATAACTAGCAAAATGGCGAGCGAAAGGCCTCAGCTTCGTTCAAGGGGCAAGAACAACGAGATATCGGGCAGTCCCGCCCCACACACAAAAGCTCTAGCTCTGCCCTCTGCGACTTGTCGCGCACGGCAGATCGGACCCAGCGCGCCGCAGACGGAGAGAGCCCGCGAGACCCAACCGCGTGCATGCACAGATCTCATGCCAGGGAAGGGGGTATGGGAGAGGTGGGAGCAGCACATGTCTCACATGGGGAGAAGTCGAGGTCCATGGGGGTGTGGGGGGTGTGGGGGGAACATGCGGAAGCATGGGGTAGCTCGTCGCCTCCTCCCGCACCCTCACGGCGTCTCATCCGAAGAGACGCCCTGCGCGAGCAGCGCGCTCAAATCGTCGCCCTCGTCGTGGGGCGCCCGGCTCAGGTCGAGCGCCTGCTGCACGCATGGCAGAGAGAGCGACGCGCTCCTCCGCTCGTGCTGCAGCTCGCGCTGCCGCTGCCGCTGCAGTCGCAGCTGCCTCGCATAGGCGCCTAGGGGGAAGAGTGGGACGATCCGTCAGAGAGAGGACAGGACAGCTCCGCGAAGCCGACGCGCAGAGGCGCCGGGGCCCTGCGGCGAGCCCTCGCCGCCGCGCAGCCCGCCGCCGCGCACCCCTTCCGCCGGCCGCGCCGTCGAACCGCATCCCCGCCGG